AGTTCTATGATTGACAGTGTTCTTGTATTAGGAATACAGTTGTACAAGGAAGTTTATCCAAACAGACACAACACTGACTCTTCAACATATTTGCAGATCTGATTTGCATACTTGCATGTCATTTTACCTGTTGTACTTGTTTGTTGCTCTCTGGTGTTCTTGCTGAGACCAGGATGGAGAGTGCTATAAACTTGAAAATGCCATAGAAATCATGTTTGCCAATTTACATCCATGCCAAAAACTGGACAAATTATATGTTGCAACTTTCAAATGACAACAAGTGAAGGCAGTGTCATTCATGACCTGTTTGATTGGATACATTTTTACGACTTGGAGGCCATTTTTTTCCTCAAAAATTTAAAAAAAACAAGCTTTTTCTAGCTGTTACCAGCTTTTTCTCAGATATGTGTCATCCAGTTTTGTTCAAAGTTGGTACAGGGACAGGTAATAATTGTTTACAAGTGCACATCGCATTATATGTTTAACAAGTTATAAAAGCCAAATGAATAAATTTTTACCCCACCCCCTAAAATTGTAACATCAATTCTGAACAATTAATAACGGAATTTTAATACAGCTCATAATGAATTAATTCACTCTGACACAAATCCAGTTCAATATAAGTTTTTAAATTTTTTTCTGAGCGAGGGCTATGACATGACATGACATGTCATGTCTTGTTTTATCTAATTCTCAGGCATTATTGAAGACTTTTTTATAAGTTTTACATGAAACAGGTGGTTTTGGATGGCACAGGTTTCAAAACAATTGTGATGAAAAAATGAAAATTTACTATTTTAAGTACTGGGGCTCATAGGTGTACATGACCATTCACACCTCTGCCTTAATGTTCGAAAAAACGTTTAGCTTGACTGATAATAGCATGTCTATTTCTTCACTTTTGGTCCCTTTAAATACAGACATTGAAAATTATATTGGATTCTCTTTCACATTTGACATTGTATTTACTCGATATCATTGGATATATTATATAAATTTATATTTGATATCAATTATTTTAATATTTTCCAGATTCCACTGTACTTGCTTACGTATTGAAGTTATTAAATGACAAATATGACTATGGGCTGAAATTAATATTGTTATCAGTAGATGAAGGTATTACAGGATATAGAGATGATTCATTAACGGTATGAGAAATAAGTCATTTAGTTTACTCACAGATATATAGTATATATTATTATTACCTTGCCCGCACCATCAAAGATGGAAGGGAAAGGTATATTAAGGGGAAAATTTTGTCCGTCATTGTCGTTAATAATTGTTATTGTGTGCATAATAACTTTACTAATTCTATTCCAAACTTCACCAAACTTGGTCACCTTATTCATCAGTATAAAGTCTTCCCCGAGTTTGAACAACAGATGTCCTATATGAAAATATCATGCACAAATTTGAGAAAATCTGATCTGATATTTTGACTGTTTCTACTTGACTGATCACTGGTGATACACATCAAAGGTCACTGATCTCAGTGGAAATATGCATTGTTGTATGTGTTCAATGAAGCAAATGATTTATCTTGTAATAATATCCTTGGTAATGTATCTCAGAATCCCATACTGGGTTTCAAAACCAACTCATGGAGAGAATGCACAGTCTGATACACATTTGCAAACCTACCAATAAAATCTTTACAGAAAACAAGATATAAATCAATATAAGCACTCCTATGAACTGGGTGCCTAACTTTGATCAAGATCTGAAGCTAATAGAAAATCTGTTTAGTTCAAAGTTACCAAATCAAAAACAATACATAAAAAGCAAAACATTTCATCCACATTTTAAAAAGAAAATTGTTCTAAAATATATGTATTCTGTATTTGACAAACAGTTCATTCGACAAATGAAAACTCACAGGAATATGTTTCAGCTATTAGAACAGAATGATAGAGTTTTTATAATACTGGTTTAAAAATGCACTTCAAAGATTGCAGTGTTTGAAAATGTAGATTCTCAGAGGCAACAGTACTTTTGACTTCTCCCTTCACTGGACACCAACTAACTATTTAAGT